CTATTAGAAGGAAACATCTAAAGCGTATGAAGAAAAATCCGATCTAGGTCTCTTCTTCTTCTTCCCCGATTTCTCTCTGTATCATCGATCGAAGAATTAAGGTAATGGACAAAGGTAAAGCAGTGATGGGTACTGGTCGGAGATGGGCCGTCGAATTCTCCGATCAATCTACTGTTCCTTCTTCCCGCGACATCCTCGATCCCCCTGGCTTCTCTCGTGCTTCTCCGGAACAGGTTCGCTTTTTTATTTCTCTCAGTGCTTAGATCTTTTGTTGTTCTCTATTGGATTTGAGCTTCAATTTGAAGTCATTATCGTTGATGGTTTTCGTTTTCAGGATGATTCAGCAACCAGTCGTCAAAAGAAAGATGCTGAAGCTAATTGGAAACTTCAGGTATTTTATGTCAAATCTGAAACTTGTCTTCAATTGTGGAATCGATCTTGGTCCTACTATGTAGATCTTAAAAGTTATTGACTTATTGCACAGGATATACATAAGACTGTCTTTTACTGTTCAAATTGTTCCTTGGTGACATTAGGGAAGGAGAATTTTCTTGTTTTAGCTGACTGAGATTGGGCTTTGATGTGGGTGGACAGAGTTTAAAATTGATTTGTTTTCCTTGGTGAATGAGTAGAAAGCATGGGAAGTAGCGCAATCTCCATTTAAGAATTTGATGATGATGGGTTTTATGATGTGGATGGCTGGAAACACAGTGCATCTCTTCAGCATTGGTATTACATTCTCGGCTCTTTGGCAGCCGATCAGCGCTCTCCAGAGCGTTGGAAAGAGTAAGTTTCCTTCACTGCATTCGTTCTTCTTCGCCTAATATGCAATTAGTCGCAGTAGTTAGCTTGTCATCCCACGACTATATGTAGTTTATCGAACTTAGGAGTATCTCTATTGGAAAAAATATAAGAGCTAAATGAAAGGTTGAACTTTCAGTAGTATCGAAAGGGTTAGATCGAATTACTTGGTTTGCATAATGCTTTTTCCTTTACTTTGGATACTATGCTTTGAAAATGTTAGCAAATGTCTATCGTCATCTTCATGTGCATCGAGACATAAGCAGACAGACATATTTGAAATGGTTACGGCATATGTGGAATAGAGACAAATATTATCCCTAAGAGAAGGAATAACTGCTTCTCTAGAATTTTGACTATTCCCATCTTTAAATGATAGGGTATCTTACTACTAAACATATCTCGCTGTTGTGTACAGTTTGATAATTTGAGTTATAATTTGGTTTGTGAATTCAAGTCCAGTATCTTTCATCC